ACCATTTACTATGTAACATTAAAGTTCCCAGTGAAGAAACTGGTCACTAGTGCAATAAGAAGCACCAGGAAAAAAACAAATAAACAAATAAATAAAGGCCAGCCTGTTGAGAATAATGGAGGGGAGAGACAGGAGGAGACTGGGTCCTTTATGACAGAATTTAGCCTGTACTTACTTGGAACCATCTTCCTCCAGACTCTCTGTTGTGAAAGATAATTAAATGTCTTTATTTTTTTTAAGCAAAAAAGAAAAGAAACTGCTCATAAACTCTTATGTAGAATTCATCAAAAAAATTTTTTTTCTTGGAGCAAAAATGGTAGAAATCCTGGGTTTTCTAGAGACTTGAATGAATATGAAGCTATGAAGGGTACACAAAGCTGAGGTACCTGGAATCATTTGGTTGCCTGTAGTCTTCAGCAAGATCACAAAGTACTCAAAGATTCTTTGGCCTTTTCAACCATATTTGCCTTGAAAGTCTTCATTAATATCCAGTGTTAAGATAGGGATTTCTTGTAGAAAATCAAAGTTGATTTTCAGTGTTCTATGCAGGACTCAGCTTTCATGCTTATAGTGAAGCTTCTGTATATATTCAAGAATGCCTTGGTCTTCATTTCTTTCCCATATTCTATTCAAGCATTTCTCTGCAGTGGCTCGAAGCTAACTGATTCCATCCAGTTCAGAGCTTTGGCCAAATTTTAGATTCATCCAGTCATGCCAGTCTTGATAAATTGCCTACTCTGTTTCATTCATGTAGTCATACTGATACAAACTAGATGCAGAACTATGCCTATACCTATATAGAGGTTGTTCAAAAATTGATACAGGCTTTTCTGCATCTTTGAGCGTGCTATTGAGACAAGCAAGCTAGGCTCATATTCGACTGAGGCAGGCATATGATTGGAAGGTAAAAGACTGTCATTCAGGTTTCTCATATATCATCTGAAGAACATTCCCACCACTTTTTTAAAATGTTAGTTCCTCAAAGTCGTCTTGAGTACTTTGAGCATTGCACCATCTGGCAGCAGGTTCAGGAACCACTTCCCAATCTTTGCAGACCTGTTTAAGAATATTCACAAATGTCTTCCCTGAAGCAATGTTCCTTTCGATGACAGTTTTCTTGGTGCAGGTCCCCTCAGAGCTGGTCATGGGAGATGGGCGTCTCGTCTTGGATGGGGTGGCCATTCTGGTCTTGTGGTAGCCTGAGCACATTGGGCAGGGAGGGGTGGGAAGTGGCCATAGATGTATGTACTGGGGCTTACGCCACCAAAGAACATGATTTGACATGCAGGCTGAGCTCCCGCCTGCAGCAGCTGAACTCATTTATTTTAATAGTTGTGTGTGTGTATTCCTTAGAATTTTCTACATATAAGATCATGTCATCTCAGAATAGAGATAATTTTACATTTTCCTTTCCAATCTGTATGTCTTTTATTTTTTCTTGCCTAATTTCATTGGCTAGAACCTTTAGTACAATATTAAATATAAGTGGTAAGAGCTGACATACTTTTCTTGATCCTTAGGAAGAAAACTTTCAGTGTTTCACTATTATGTATGATGTTAGGTGAGTTTTTTGCAGATATTCTTTATCAGATTGAAGAAGTATTCTGTTGCTAGTATGTTGAGAATTATTATCATGGAAGGCTGTTGACTTTTGTTAGTTATTTTTTTACAATTTAATTAGATAATCCTATTTTCCCCTTAATATAGTTTATTACATTGACTTTTGGATGTTACATAAATCTTGCATTCCTAGGGGAAAAACCCTAATGATTATGGTGTATAACCCGTAGTTTATGTTGCTAGATTCATTTTGCTAGTATTTTGTTGAGGATTTTTTTTAATCTATATTTGTAAGAGGTACTGGTCTATAGTTTTCTTGTGATGTCTTTGATTTTGTTATGAGGGCATATGATTTCATAGTATGAATTAGATATTCCCTCTTCTATTTTTTGGAAGGATTTGTGAAAGATTGGTATTAATGCTTTTTAAAATGTTTGGTATAAATAACCAGTGTAGCCATTGGAGCCTTGGATTTTCATTGTGGTAAATTTTTAAATTATGAATTCAAGCTATTATATTTATTCATACATGAGTATTTTTATTTCTACTTGAGTCTGTTTTGCTAGTTTGTGTCGTTCATTTTATTTCAGTTACCTAGTTTGTTGGCAGGCAGTTGTTCTTATAGTGTCCCTTGTAATCCTTTCTGTAACTTTGATAGGACTCCTCTCTATTTTTCATTCTTGATTTTTGCAATTTGAATTTTCTCTCTTTTTTTCTTGGTTAGTCTACCTAAAGATTTGTCAATGTTGTTGATCTTTTCAAGGAACCAACTCTGGATTTTGTTTATTTTGTTTTAATCCTGTTTTACCTATTTCTGCATAATTGTTCTCATTCCTTCCTTCTGCTTGCTTTGGATTTAGCTTGCTCTTTTCAAATTTTCCAAGATGAAAGATTTATTAAATTGAGATCTTTCTTTTAAAAAAAATAGGCATTTACAACTATAGATTTCCCTGTATGTAACTATAGCTTTCTTTGCCATGAGTTTTTTTTGTTTTTTTTTTAATGTTTATTTTTGAGAGAGAGAGTGAGCGAGCAGGGGAGGGGCAGAGAGAAAGGGAGACAGGAGACAGAGAATCCCAAGCAGGCCCCACACTGTCAGCGCAGAGCCTGATGCTGGCTCGAACTCACGAACCACTAGTTGATGACCTGAGCCAAAATCAAGAGTCAGTTATTTAACTGACTGAGCCACCCAGGTGCCCCTCCATGAGTTTTTTAAAGTAACTTGTTGGGGGGCCTGGGTGGCGCAGTCGGTTAAGCGTCCGACTTCAGCCAGGTCACGATCTCGCAGTCCGTGAGTTCGAGCCCCGCGCCGGGCTCTGGGCTGATGGCTCAGAGCCTGGAGCCTGTTTCCGATTCTGTGTCTCCCTCTCTCTCTGCTCCTCCCCCGTTCATGCTCTGTCTCTCTGTCCCAAAAATAAATAAACGTTGAAAAAAAATTAAAAAAAAAAATAAAGTAACTTGTTGAATTTACTTATGTGTTCTAAACATGTTCCCATTACATGTTGTGTATTTTAATACATTGCCTATTAATAACTAGGTTCTGTAATTTGTGATTTGAAATTTACTTTTTTTTTAATTTTATTTTTAATTTTTAAAAAATTACATCCAAGTTGGTAAGCATATAGTGCAACAATGATTTCAGGAGTAGATTCCTTAATGCCCCTTACCCATTTAGCCCGTCCCCCCTCCCATAGCCCCTCCAGTAACCCTCAGTTTGTTCTCCATATTTATGAGTCTCTTCTGTTTTGTCCCCCTCCCTGTTTTTATAATATTTTTGTTTCCCTTCCCTTATGTTCATCTGTTTTGTCTCTTAAAGTCCTCATATGAATGAAGTCATATGATTTTTGTCTTTCTCTGACTAATTTCACTTAGCATAATACCCTCCAGTTCTATCTACGTAGTTGCAAATGGCAAGATTTCATTCTTTTTGATTGCCAAGTAATACTCCATTGTGTGTATGTGTGTGTGTATATATATATAAGTGGTAAGATATGTATATATATATCACATCTTCTTTATCCATTCATCTATCAATGGACATTTGGGCTCTTTCCATACTTTGGCTATTGTTGATAGTGCTGCTCTAAACATGGGGTGCATGTATTCCTTCGAAACAGCACACCTGTATCCCGTGGATAAATGCCTAGTAGTGCAATTGCTGGGTCATAGGGTAGTTCTATTTTCAGTTTTTTGAGCAACCTCCATACTGTTTTCCAGAGTGGCTGCACCAGCTTGCATTCCCACCAGCAATGCAAAAGAGATCCTCTTTCTCCTCATCCTCACCAACATCTGTTGTTGCCTGAGTTGTTAGGTCATAAGAGGAAAGTGTATAGCAATCCAGACCTTTTTAAAGAAGGAAGAAAGATCTCAGATACACAACCTAACCTTACGCCTTAAGGAGCTGGAAAAAGAACAGCAAATAAAACCCCAAATCAGCAGAAGACAGGAAATAATAAAGATTAGAGCAGAAATTAATGCTATTGAAACCAAAAAAAAACCAGAACAGATCAATGAAACCAGAAGCTGGTTCTTGGAAAGAATTAACAAAATTGTTAAATCACTAGCCAGTTTGATTAAAAAGAAAAAAGAAAGGACCCAAATAAATAAAATCAAGAATGAAAGAGGAGAGATCACAACCAACACAGCAGAAATAAAAACAATAAGAGAATATTATGAGCAATTGTATGCCAATAAAATGGGCAATCTGGAAGAAATGGACAAATTCCTAGAAACATATACACTACCAAAACTGAAACAGGAAGAAATAGAAAATTTGAACAGACCCATAACCAGTAAGGAAATGGAATTAGTAATCAAAAATCTGCCAAAAAGCAAGAGTCCAGGGCCAGATGGCTTTCCAGGGGAATTCTACCAAACATTTAAGGAAGAGTTAACACCTATTCTCTTGAAGCTGTTCCAAAAAATAGATATGGAAGGAAAACTTCCAAACTCTTTCTATGAAGCCAGCATTACCTTAATTCCAAAACCAGAGACCCCACTAAAAAGGACTATAGACCAATTTTCTCTGATTAACAAGGATGCAAAAATACTCAACAAGATATTAGCCAACCAGCTCCAACAATATATTGAAACAATTATTCACCACGACCAAGTGGGATTTATACCTGGGATGCAGGGCTGGTTCAATATCCACAAAACAACGTGATTCATCACATCAATAAAAGGAAGGATAAGAACCATATGATCCTCTCAATAGATGCAGCGAAAGAATTTACCTTTTTTTTTTTAAGACACATTTATTCAGCGTCATGATCAGACTATGATTAATATTTAACAATCAACAGCATGGGTGCAAAAAAAAAAAAATCTACATTAAAACCCTTTGTTGGAATGCTTTAAACTTTCCAGAGAACAGAAACTAAAATAACCTGTTATACAATTAATCACAAATACAGTCCTCAGATTTTTTGTCAATGTACATTGTCTAAAACATGTCTTCTTTGTAGCAGCTAGACCCTGCCATCACTGTGCTTGGCTGAGTTCACAAATCTGTTGTAACCTGTAGCTTCCCTGTCACTTCTCTGGCTCTCCTCTCCTGCTAAGCCTTGTTTCCTGGCAGTAAACATAGTAAAACCTTCTGCCACTGCCATAGCTACTGCTGCTGCTGGAACCACCATGGTCACCTTGCTTTTGTGGTTTGGCAAAGTATTGGCCTCCACCACCACAGGGGCCAGAGCTTCTGTCTCCAAAATTTCCTCCTTTCATGGGTCCAAAATTTGAAGATTGATTGTTGTAATTTCCAAAATCATTATAGCTTCCACCATCTCCATAGTTGCTTCCATCATTACCAAATCCATTATAGCCATCCCCATTTCCACCACCCTGTTGACTGCCACCAAAGCCACCTCACCCTCTGAAGTTTCCTCCACAACCAAAGTTGTCATTCCCACCAGAACCACCTCCATAACCACCACCAAAGTTTTCAGAACCACTTTGACCTTCTTGGTTGGATGAAGCACTAGCCATCTCTTGCTTAAATAGAGCTCTCCCTACTTTACAGTTGTGGCCATTCACAGTATGGTATTTCTGAATGACAGTCTTGTCTACAGAGTCATGATCATCAAACGTTACAAAAGCAAAGGCTCTCTTTTTGTCACTGCCTTGATCAGTTATGATTTTAATCACTTCAGTTTTCCCATACTGTTCGAAATAATCTCTTAGATGATGTTTTTTAGTGTCTAATGCCCCTGACAAAAATCTTTTTCACCGTTAAGTGGGCACCAAGTCTTGAGAATCTTCTCTTGAGACAGCCCTCTTTGGTTCTACAACTCTTCCATCCATTTTGTGTGGCCTTGCATTCATGGCTGCATCCACCTTTTCCACAGTGGCAAACGTGACAGACCCAAAGCCTCTGGAGCGCTCGGTATTTGTATCTGTCATTACCACACAGTCCATAAGTGTTCCCCATTGCTCAAAATGGGGACTCTCATCAGACTCTCAGACTCTCATCGGTTGTTTGAAAGCTCAGACCTCCTATGAAAAGCTTCCGCAGCTGTTCGGGCTCTTTGGGAGATTCTGACTTAGATATGACAGCAGTGGGAGGGGAGACTTTAACGATGCTTACTTGGCATTGTCTACGGGCAGAAGAAGGTGAAATTTACTTCTTTATAGTTTACAGGAATTTTATTTTCTTGTGCCTATTTATTATTTTTTATTTCTTATTTTAGAGAGCGAGTGTATGCGAGCAGGGGAGAGGGGCAGCTCCTGACACGGGGCTGGATCCCATGACCCTGGGATCAAGACTTGAGCCGAAATCAAGGTCTGACACTCCACTGACAGAGCCACCCATGCGCCCTATGCCTATTTGTTATTACACCTATGTGAACCACTATGGAACAACTGAAATTTTGTGCCATAAAAATATTTTTGTGGTAAGGTACTATTTTTTTCACACTAGGAATATATCAGCAAAAATCCACCTTACAATTTGAAAGACCTAATTTTATGTTGAATGAGCACAATTTATAAGCTGAAGCATTGCAAGGAGATAACCAGAGCAGTTAGATGCTCTTGTCTTTTTCATTGTTAATTTATTGTCCTACATGGGTTTCAGATTTATAAAGGCATCACAGGCTCATTGCACTTAATACCTGCAGTGTTTGCTACCATACCACAACTCATTTTCAATACTTTATTACAGAGGATGAGAAATTGTAATGTTTTATTAACAATGCTTCTGGAAATGAATGCATTTTAAAGCAAATAAATCTTTTTGATAGACCTTTTTCAAAAAAAGTTTTGGTATATTTTTGTTCTTCCCAAAGCATCTTCTAATTTTTCTTGTGATTTTTTTTCTTTTATCTGTTATTATTTAGGAATGTGTTGTTTAATCTCTACATTGTGATTTTTCAGTTTTATTTCTTTTTAGTTTTTAATTTCATTGTGTTCTTGTTCAAGAATGTTATTAATCTCACTCTTTTTAAGTTTATTGAGGTTTGTTTTATGGCCTAAAATATGATCTGTCCAAAAGAATATTTCATGTTTATGTGGGAAGAATGTGTATTATGTTGTTTGAGGGCATCTTCATGATTTCTCATGGGAAGTCAGCTGTTAATTTTATTGAGGCTCGTTTTACATGATAATTCATTTATGTTTTTCTGCTTTTGTGATTTCTCTTTGTTTTTCACCAGTTGGCATGATGTGTCTGCGGTGAGTCTCTTTGAGTTTATCTTAGTTGAAGTTCTTTGAGCTTTTTGGATGTATGATATTTCATGAAATTTGAGGTTTTAGGGCTCTATTCAAGTAAAATTTCTGTTGCTTATTTCTCTCCTTTTCTTCTGAAATTCTTAATTTGCATATATTTGTATACCTGATAGTGTCCCACAGGTCTCAGAGGTTGTGTTCATTTATCTTCAGCCTTTTTTCTTTCTGTTCTTCAGTTCAGATAATCTGTTTTGTCCTGTCTAAAGTTTGCTGATTTTTCTGCCAGTTCAAATCTGTTGAGCCTATCTAGTGACTTCATTTTAGTTTTTGTATTAGTCAACTCCTAAACTTCTATTTGATTGTAATATTTGTGGCGTTTTTTTTTTTTTTTTGTTGTTGTTGTTGTTGTTAAATAATTGCTATGTATTTATATTTTCTATTTGGTGAGGCATTTTTATAATTAAAGTATTTTAGACATAACTTCCATATTTTTAATTTTGACCTTATTTGTAATAGTTGACTTAAAGCTTTGTGTACTGATTCAAACTTCTGGGCTCCCTCAAGTACATTTTCTCTTGCTTGCTTTTTCCTTGTCATACTTTTCCTATTTATTCATTTTTCTTTCAATTTTTTTGTTGAAAAGTAAAGATTTAAATAATATAATGTGGACATTAAGCTCCCCCACTTCCTCCTCAGAGTGGTGTTTTTGTTGTTGTTGCAATTTGTTTTGTTTGTTTAATGACCTTCCTAGGCTAATTTTGTAAAGTTCGTATATCCTGTTGTGTGTAGTTACTAAAGACACTACATGGTTAGTTTACTTGCCTGTGAATTATTGCACAGCGATTTCTTTAAGTACCTAGAGCCAATAAGTCTTTCATCCTTTACCAAGGGATTCTGTGTTTTTGAGGCATGCGTTCTATACTCTGGCAGTATATAATCAACTATTACTTTCTCCTTGTGCAGGGAGGGCTTCATGGTTATCCAGAGTTGAGAGATTTGGGCTTTCTTAGTTTTTTTCCTCAGCATGGATACAGTTTTGTACATGCAAATAGCATTCTAGATCCCCAGGAATATGTCAGCTCTTTTCAAGCTGCCTATGGACAGCATTCTCCAGATCTTCCTTTTAGGTATATTTGGCCAGTCTTGGTTCCTTAAACCACTATTGCTGCTTCACACATCTGCAATAATAATTTGTTTAGCAATAATTAATTAATAATTAATTGCTGCTGACTCTTTTAGAGACATGCCCTGGGGATAGGACTTTTCCCATTGAATGAGCTGCTGAATCAAATTATAAATTTTGTTTATAAGTTTTTTCCTAAAAGCTGCCAGGCAGGTCAGATTATGATAGTACTCTGGGGATAGGGCCTTTTGAGGAGCTCTAAATGCAATTTCCTCTCTCCTGTGACTGCTAGGCTGCTGGTTTACACAGCTACTCTGGTTATGAGGCTACTGCTTTTCAAAGCTGCCATGAAACTAGAGAGGGGGGTATGAAACTAGGGCAAGTGGAAACACACGAAGTTTATTTTTTATGTTGAGATTCAGTTGTTTTCTTGGGTAAATTCTATTCAGATTGTTACAAGCCTATAGTTGTGAAAAATTAGATGGACTATTTTTGCTACTCTTCTTATTCCTTATATGAAGGAGTGGGTTATTAGAGGTCCTTACCTCTAATAAGAGATTATTCTGCAAGTTTGACCATCACGTTTTTTATTTTAGTCACTCTGATAGGTGTGTGTTATTAACTAATTATTATTTTAATTTATATTTCCATGATGGCTAAGGATATTGAATCTGTTTTATGTGTTTATTTGCCAAATCTATCCTTTTTGGTGAAATATCCATTCATGTCTTTTACTTATTTTTTTAAATTGATGTATAATTAACAATATATAGGTTTCAGGTATATAGCATAATGGCTTGATATTTGCATATACTGCAGAATGATCAGTGCAGTAAATCTAGTTACCATTCATCCCGATACAAAATTACAAAAACTTTTTTTCTTGTGATTAAGATTTATTCTCTTGGCAACTTTCCAATGTGTAGTACATTATTGACTATGGTCACCATGCTGTACATTACACTTCCATGACTTATTTACTTTATAATTGGAAGTTTATAGCTTTTGACCCCCTTCACCAATTTTACCTACCCTCAACCCCTGTCCCCTCCGGTAGCCACCGTTTTAGTCTCCATATGTACAAGTTTTGTTTTGTTAATTTTTTTGAAAGATTCTACATATAAGTGAAATCATACAGTATTTGTTTTTGTCTTTGTCTGACTTATCTCATTTAGCATATTAGCATATTATATTAGCATATTATATAATATTAGCATAAAGTCCATTCATGTTATCACAGATGGTGAGATTTTTATCTTTTTTATGGCAGACTAGTATTCCATGGTGTGTGTGTGTGAGATGTCTATGGTGTATGTGATATTTATCCTTTCTCCATGTTTCTTCAAGTAGGGCATGTATCACTGTCAACTTTCCTTTTAGAGCTGCTTTTACTGCATCCTGTCTTTGGTATGTAGTATTTCCATTTGCATTTGTCTCAAGTTATTTCTGATTTCACATTTGATTTCTTCATTTACCCATCAGTTGTTCAGTGGCATGTTTAAGCTCTACATATTTGTGAGTTTACCAGTTTTCTTCTTGTAATTGATACCTATTTTGTGTGAAAGAGCTCATACCATTTTGGTTGAAAAAGATGCTTGATGTGATTTTAATATTTCTAAATTTATTGAAACTTGTTTGCGTTCTGACATATGATTTATACTGGAGAGTGTTCGAGGTACACTGGAGAAGAATGTGTATTCTTTTGCTTTTGGCTGGAATGTTCTGTATTTATCCATTAGGTCTTTCTGATCTAATGTCTTTTTTAGGGCTGATGTTTCCTATTGATTTTCTGTCTGGACGATCTATCCATTGATTTAAGAGGACTATGAAAGTTCCTTACTATTATTGTATTGCTGGCAATTTTTCTCTTTAGATTCATTTATATTTAGGTGCTTCTTTGTTGGGTGCATAAGTATTTACAAATGTTATATCTTCTTGTTGGATTAGACACTTTTATCATTATGTAATATCCTTTTTTTTTTTTTTTTTTGTCTTTTGTTACACTCTTTTAGAGTCTATTTTGTTTGGTATAACTAGTCGCCCCAGCTTTCTTTTGGTTTCCAATGCATGGAACATCTTTTTCTATCCATTCACTTTCAGTCTTTATGTCTCTTCACACTTAAGATGAGTTTTTGTAGGTAGTACGGATTTTTTTTTTTTAAACCAATTCAGCCATTCTGTGTCTTATGATAGAATTTAGCCCACTTGCCTTTGAAATAATCATCGATAGTTATGTATTTACTGCTCTTTTGTTACTTGTTTTCTGGCTGTTTTGTAGTTCCTCTCTGTCCCCTTTTTCTTGTCTTACTTTCTTCCCTATGGTTTGATGATTTTATTTAGCGTTATGTTAAGTTCCTTTCTCATTATCTTTTGTGTATATACTATAGGTTTTTGCTTTGTGGTTACATATATATATATATATGCCTGTGCATATATATAATATATATATATGTGTGTGTGTCTATATATATATACATACATATATACATATTAGCCTGTGCATATAGCAGTCTATTTAAAGTTGATAGCAGCTTCAGTTTGAATGCATTTTAAAACTACATTTTTGGGTGCCTGAATGACTCAGTTGGTTGAATGTCCAACTCTTGATCTTGGCTCAGGTCTTGATTTCATGGTTGTGAGTTCA